AGGACATCAATTGTAACATTTTGTGACTGGGAATAAAATCTGTATATAATGGCAATTTAATTTAGGCCCAACAAAACAGGCTCTCTTAGTGCAATCAGCAAGTGTGATAATCTATGTTTACTCAGAGACAAAGATCCAGAGGGGCCTTGTAAACAGACCCGCCTCCAGAGGGTTGCCTGCACAAACAGCAGTGAAGCCCCTCAAAGCTCCAGAGCGTGCCGACAGCTATCAATCACAGAGCTGTAAGTGGGATGCTTGAGCTGAGATCCGTATCAGGACTGACCCGTATACACACTAACACCACAGCTCCTCTTATCTGGGCCAAGATAACAAAGACAGGGGCACCCGCGATCGCTGTCTCTATCTGTACACTGTGCCGGCCTTAAAGTTCATTTCAGAGAGGCCCAAAGAGAAAAAAAATCAAGCCACCAATTTGCTCTGGTTCCTGTTTAAAATTCAATAAGTGAGTGTGTTGTTTTGCGGCCGCGTGGTGCACAGAGGGGCAGTGGAGGGCCCAAGCTGCGACTGATCCCAATCGCTGATGTTATCAAACTCAGAGAAACATGACCCACGTCTTCACTGACAGATCTTAGATGAGCATGAAATTCGACAGCGCTCAGAAGCATGAAACAACACCAATTTGCTGCTACTTCTATTTTGAATTTCCGGGAAACAGACATTTCTAAAAAAAAAAAAAAAAAAAAAAAAAAAAAAAGCGCTTCTGAAAAAGAGGACATGCATGTGTTCGTGAAAGAGATTAGGAATTCTCGGATTCTGTTAAATTCAATTCAAGTTTATTTATATAGCACATTTAAAACAACTTCAGCCGACCAAAGTGCTTCACATAAAAGTTAACAAAAAAAGAAAGAAACAGATATACAGTTAACACAATAAAAAGTAAATATACAGGTAACACAATGAGAAACAGATATACAGATAGATTACACAAGATTCTGACTTTATTTGGAAAAAGAGTAGAACATTTGTAATTATATTTTATAATGTCATTTTTGTGTTTGTCAAATAGACTATTTCAATTACTGGAAAGTGCAATGAATACATTTGTATTTTGTTAATACACATTTTGACCTAATTAAAAACAAGGTGGTTCTAATAGAATTTGTAGAGGCAGAAGGCTGACCTGTAAAAGTGGTTATAATAAAATTAGTAGTAATAGCATTAGTATTGGTAGTAGTTGAAGGATTTGCCACTGGTACAAGCAGTAGTAGTATAGTCAACTTAAAGGTGCACTGTGTAACTTTTCTGGTGGAGGGTCCGTCAAATGCTTTTCTTCACGGAGATATCATTGCTTTGTCTTGAATTTTTAACGGTATAGTATTAAATCATTCTATCTTCATGGAGTCCAAGTTACAGATCTGTGGAGAGGCAACCATGCTCACAGCCAGAATTCCTGTTTTTCTACATATTTTTGAGCTACGAAAATCACCTGTAATTGAATACATGTAAGGTAGAGCTGTTTAATGTCATGTGGAACATTCCAAGCAGAGCAGTGAGATATTCATAGAAACAATATTCATTGAATTTGCTTACTTCTCTTAGGTGCAGGTTTATATACTTATCAATCATGCAGTGATTGAAGCAATCATTAACCATTTATCCTAACCAGAAAAACAACATGGTGGTCAATGTCAGGTTTGTGTTCACGAGTTTTGTTTTTTTTAATTCCGATTACATGCACTTGATCCAAACCAGCCACACCACAGACTGAACCTCTATAACCATTGATGGCTCCTTAAGTACAGCCCAAGCCCTGTTCCATAAAACATGGCTCACTTCTCCTGTACACATTGAACTTTAATGCCAGTACAAGTTGGTGCAGATGGTGGCTGTGGTGTGGTTGCGGACAGCGTGGTGAGGAGATGGTCCTTCAGACTGGGCCCAAGCCTGTTTTGGGGCTTCCACCCAACCACAGCGCGATGGGCCTAATAACAAAAACAAGCATCCTGGTGTGGAGCTGCTCCCACAGTGTGAGCACTTTAATGAGGAACATGTGGAGCTGCCCAGACACACAGTCAAAGGAAACCCAATCCTCGCCCCTGTTCCTGCGCCCCTCCCCCACTCCTCTCTCGCTCACTTGCTCGGCAAAAGTCTGTCACTACTTTGGCTCTTACGATTAGCCATTCTTATGTTTGTGTCCATCAAAAACTCTTGTGCCAACAGCAATCCTGCAAAGGCAACAGTACTTGATTATGTATAGTACTTTGATCTAATACAAGTACTGGAGTACAAGTTGAGCCCATGTTAGACTACATCATTATCTATATCACTATGCCACCTTACCATTCTGCTATAAATATTACCTCTTCATCACTCCTGTCCTGTCCTACTACATAACTGCCATATTGCAGCAACCACTGCCTTAAGATAGAAGAATGCTACAACTGTACATTTAATTTGCAACAAAAACTTATTTTTCTAACACAAAGAGTAAAGAAAAACTGAAAAAAATATATATTCAGGAAAATACCTTAGGCTTACTTGAGTAAACAGCTGGAATCCACTCATGAAAAACAAGCCTTTGCCTTGCAGATTTGTTGTATCCTAATGCACTATTTGCTGGTTTGTAGCATACAGTCCCTGGTCCTAAGGAAACATAAAGGGTTCTTTCTGTGTGTGTCAGACTGACAGGCCTTTCAGGAGGCTCTTTCATGTGCTGAATTCATCCTTACCATCCACCTGCATCAATTAACTGTGTGCTTCACTGCTCATCAGCCTCGCACTGGGAACCCAAGCTCATTTAGGACAAGAGCCCTTGGTCTGTGCTGAGATCCCCTGGCATTGTTACCTTCCTTGTGTGTTTACCCTAAAGGTTGGCTACAATCTCAAAATCAGATTTAACTCCACAAATACTGTAAGAGGGAAAAAGTGAACAGTAAATGGGAACTTTAAGTACATTTTCTTATACTATGCTTGGATAGATAATGTACATGTAGCATAGGCGTCCTGTCTCAGCAAGCATTGTAGACTTGAGATTTATTGAATATCTCATTTACATACCATATTTCCTTCCAATATCCCACCTCAAAAGCAACACAGTGAAGAAAAGTACAAACAAGCTTTTGTACTAAATGGAGTATTAAGTTAGTGTGAGTACTGTCATTAGAAGTAACAATAGATGATGATGATGATGGTAGTTGGCATGTCCATCTCTTCGAGACAATTTTTCAAGGATCAATAATTACAATATTTTGTCTTTTTTCAGGAAATGCCATCTGCTCATTCTCAAGACCAAAGGTGAGTCCTACTCAATCCAAATGCATGGTTCACAGTATTTCAGTATTTCAGTGTGGCTGTGCTGTGTAACCATTTAAGGGGATTTCTGAATGTGACTAAAGCCGAGCCATAAAGCAGATCAAGCGAGCCATCCTCCAAAATTAGCTGAACAAACAGAGAAAGGTAGAGCTCTCTGGGGGACAGAGTTGGCACACGGCGACAGAGGCCCCTCCCTGGCAGCGCCGTAACAATCCCCACGTTCCACTTGGCTTGAGCTGTCTTCCTTTACCCTACACTATATATATCAGCCAGCATCAACATGAGTCCAAGAAGACCTTTTACACTGGACTGACAGGCCACCTGAATCACACAATTGTGCAGTTGGAGGAGCCAGTATGTGTATAGAAAACCCAGTGATCCAATAACTGTCTAGGTTCACTTCTCCCTCATAAAATCAGGAGGGAGGCCCCAATGTTCCAGTTGCACCAAAACATCACCATAACTTTTAATATCTCTTAAAACGGGCAACATATGGGATATTGATGGGTGAAGGTTGTATATGGATATGGCAAGTACAAAGTATGGATTGTGATGTTGCTTTTATTTTGAAGTTAGTTGAGTGTACCATTGTGAAACATAGGGTTACAATGCCTCATGGATAGAGTTTTCACCCTTGAAATAAATGAGAGCAAGTTTGGGTCCTTACCAATACCAGTTGTAAGAAATAGTAACATGTTTGTAACACTGTTAGTAGCTTTGTAATTGGTTATTTTCCATGAATTTGTTTATGCAACACAGATCCACAGAAAATGTGTTAGCAGAGGTGTGAGAGTTGCTGTACTGTATGTGCTGCTTACATAGGGCTCGGCTTGCAGCAGCTGTGCAAATGAAAGACAGAGTGTCGTTGGAGAAGTGAGAGAGAGAGAGAGAGAAAGAGAGAGGAGGGCTGGAAAGTTTGCCACAAAAGGAAAAGAGTAACACACAGTCTGCTGCATAGTAATAGCAAGTCATGGAAAAGATAATAATTGAAATTTGTTGAAAATATAATCAAAATTTTTATTTGCTCTACAAAAATGAAGTTTATTGGTTTCGAAATTGCCTATTCTCCAAAAATAATGTCAGAACTTGTGACTCCTGTTGCGGCTTAATGGGCCAAATTCCATTAGTCTTTCTTCTTTCTTTATTGTTCTTTGTTTGGGTCTATTTAGTTTGCACACAGGTGTCAAGCAAATCTCATTATCTAAACTAAAAGTAGAGTTTGAAAACAACAGGTGAGAGATTCCTGCCTGGTGCTGGAAACACACAAACATTTGTCCCCTTGAGTGGGGGTGGGAGCTGTCCTGGGTGGCCAAACAAAACAGCTGACCCGCAGAGCTTTGCAATGTTGAGTTTTAGTTACTAAAGTACTGTGAAACTTCATTCAACTTTTAGGCTATGAGATAATACAAAACAGTTTATTGTGGAATAGGGTCTTTTATTTTTGTGATTGTTTTGTTGGGCTGTTGATGCTTTGTGAGGCAATAATGAACTTACCACCTACTTGTGATGTCTTCATTATAACGTGGTCTGTTATTTCACGCCATCCCGCTGTTGTCGGAGCGTTTTTCCACTGTCCTCATCCCAGTAATTGCCACTACATGTAAATATCAAGTGGTTAGTGAATAATTAGTCTTTCATTGGTCAGTAATCACCTCTGGGCCTCGGCTCCAGTTTAGACCCCTCCCCTGTAGAGCCGCCCTGAAGACAGGGGCCCCTTTTGAATGACAGCGCTGTGGAAGGAAGACGAATTTTTGTGTGATTTCCCGCAGCTACAGCGTCGATGAGAAGCAGTCGCGGATCTCCATTCTAGGTGAATGGATTGGCATGGGGAGAAGCGGACTTCAGATCACGGCTAAGCGGCAGCTTTGGGACTGTGTAACGATCATCATGGTTTTACTATCGCTGCTGTTTCGACCAGGTAAGAGATTTTCAATCCGTGCCTCTCCACTGCTGCATGCGAAGCGTAGAGTCGACGCAGTGAACTAAAGTTAACTTTCACTGCACTGCTGAGTAAAGTAACTTAACCTGCTAACTTTTTACCCGCTATCCATATATCCACTTTATTTGGACATCGTTCGGTGATTCGGGAATGGAGTTTATTCTCTTTTGTTCGCGGCTATTCCGTCCGCTATGGGACAAAGTAAAGCCTGTTGCTGCCCCGTGCCCCAGCCTCCTGCCTGCTCCGCTCTGCTTCTGTCTCTATCCCAGGAGCACGACTTAACTCTCTGCAAATTCGTTTTTGAACTTCATTGCCTCTTAGTATCACAACAACAATACCGCAGACTTTCTGAGTACTTACCGAGCATATACCACCTCTCTGAAACCACAAGCAAATCAACTTTTGTTTGAGATTTCCCAAAGGTGTGGAGTTGCGTGCTAGCTCGCTGTTAGCATCTAGCTCAATAGCACCCGGACCAAATGGACAGGGGGTTGTTGTTTTTAACCAAGAAATCACACTAACGGGACAACAAAGACAACTTCCATCACTATTACACAAAGTTGCCTCTATTTTCGCTGAGTGAACACGTATTTCTGAAGTTTACTGACGCATTTGTTTCAGTTTTCAACTTAGTCAACTTTGACGCATAGTGGTATTTTTGTTCCATAAACGAGACTACAAAGGTTCCACTTCCACAGTGTTTTACTGTTTGAAGGTGAACTTCTTCATTACTGAATAAAACATATGCAAATTGACAGAAATAAATGAATCTAATAACCTAAACAAACTTTTACAAACACAATAATAATAGTGCGATTAATTTTATGTGACTTTGTCACAGGAGCAGCTTTGAACATTCCTTTGTGGGCTTACTGGCGTTTTGCTCCATATCAGTACCAATGGTATGACTTGTATTAACAAGAAATCTGCACTTTATATAACAAGTAAAGTTATATCCACTAGTACTGTCCTACTACATAAATTATTTAGTAGTCAGTGGTCACACTTTCTTAGAAACCAAAAACTCCAGGCTCCTTATGTTGCACTTGGTTTGGCACTATAGTCTATTGAGATTCATTGACGTTCATATGTTTTGGGGCAGTGATTGTCAGACATTGTTGATCACAGAGCTCTCCTCAGAGGATCCAGTCAGAGCTTGGGGATGGAGAATGCCTCTGGGTTGACCTCTCACACCCTGCTCCATTTTATCAGTGCCGGTGTTAAAGTGCAGTCAATGTGAGATGCATTAATCATGTGTCAGGCCTGCTCAGTACTTCAGAGCTATGTGAAAGCCCTGCAGAAATTCACACGCACACTTTTGAAAGAGTGTGTTTGTCATGTTGTCTTTGGGATGTTCAGAGATTAGAAGGAGTTTTGGAGTACACAGGAGATTAGGTTATTGCAATAGAGGACTGTTTTTGCAACTGCATCTCTGTTATTCGAGTTGTTACCAAAGTCAGTTGTTATAGCTTGGTAAAGGGCCTAAAAAGTATTGAAAACTGACAGACTTTTTAATGTGATGTCAAATTGATGGTTGTATCAAGACATTTGAAGTCAAATCTTTCCCAAAACAATCACTGTTTGCCAGACAACTGTGAGATGCTGGAATGGAGAGAGCTGTACTCTAATGGAGAATTTGGCATCATTCTGATTAGGGATGTCCAATTTAGTGTTGTGATTATTTTGAGAATAAACACTGACACTTTTACGATTACCAATGGTTATTGACACCATGACCAAACTACAGTGATATCCTTTTTTCACTTTCATTCACCTTGTCTAAAAAGGTGATTATGTTCTGAATGATAAAGTAAAGTTAATATGGCATAAACAGACACACTTTCTTTACATTTGGGTTTACTTTTTTGGAGGGATTGATTGAATAGAAATGACCTATTATTGCTTCTAATTATTATTTTTCAGTTCTTACCATTATACTGTGACCTGTATAAACACAGTTATCATTTCAAAACATCCCTAATTCTGATGTACAATTACTAATCATCACCCATAATGCTAACTTCCTAATGATACAGTACTTTTGATCCCTATGGCAATGTTGATTTTGCTGATTTGGCGTCTGCTAGTATTAGTGAATATCCCAGTAGGTTGCAGCTCAACAGAAATACACACTTTGTCTTCTTGATTGCCTAACCACAAATTAGTAAATACGTCGTAACCCTGTGAGTCAGTGTTACCAAAATACATCTCCAATTCTCTCATGTACCCACTTCACCAACACAGACACATCCTATGATGCAGCCTCCTGTGCCCTCTAGTCTGGAGTAATGGACTTGTTGGGCTACTCTGAGCTAAAGCCAAACCACATTCAACACCCCGCGGCACTCTACACGGGTTGGTTTCCTCCTCCAGCGGTTCGCCCTGGTCGGGGGAAATAAGTTCTGACTGACTCCAGAGCACAGTGTGGGAGCATGGCCCTCATGAGCTGGCCCATTTGGGTTTTAATGGCTCTCCTGATTGAACTAAAGTTGATAGTGGAAAAGTTTTGACTGCAGAGTCTTTAGGGTAGAGTTTAAGTTGTTGTAGTATGTTAGCACAAGTTCACTTAAAGACTGGAACAGGGTAGGCCTCCATGATATAACACATTTAGTATTATTATTACAGTGTTCTGGTGGTAATATTTTGGTCAAACCTAGTAGTTTATTTAAAGATGCAGCTTGTGTTTAAGGTTCCCTCACATTTTCTTGATTGAAATGTTACTGCTTTGTACGTAATGTTTTACAGATAATAAACAAATCTATCTGGCCTTTGTTCTTTTTTTGTTTCTGAAAGTATGTAAAAACATACATTGATATTGTGAGAAGAGTTACCTCTCCACTGATATGACCTGTTACTGGTGACGTCACCTCTGTGTCTTCATACTATGGCATTTTCCTTAGTGATCTCCATGGAGGCTAGCATGTGGCAGATCTTCCTCCATAAAGGTTACAAGTGCACTTTTAAAAAGAGTATATGGCACATTAACTCCTGTATGCTCCTGCTAACTACTAACACAATACAGCTATTACTTGTATATTCAGTGTCATATGAACATGTACCAAACAAGAATGCTAAATGACATCTAAAGATCTTGATTAATTCTTTGTTTTTCTCTTTCCCAGCTCATTGCCAGCAGTGTCGGATCCAGCGATGCAACACAGACTATGTGGCTTCTACCTCGACGTCCGGTGGGCTGCAGGAGGAAGTGGCCCATGACGTGGACTACTGCATCGCTTTGCGCGCCTACTCCCTGTGCACCCGCAGGCAGGCGCGTAGTTGCCGGGGCGACTTGGTGTACCACTCGGCCGTCTTTCGCATCAAGGAGCTCTTTTCCCAGTATAACTGCTCTAGCGATGGGCCCACCTCCTCCGCCAAAGCTCCCAGCACCTCCAAGCCCTCAGTGTCCGAGCAGTGCAACTATGAGAACCGAGTGTTGCTGTCTGGACCAGCCGCTCAACAGAAAAAGTACGCTCATTGTGGATTATTTGGAGACCCACACCTGCGGACTTTCAGAGACGAGTTTCAGACCTGCAAAGTGGAGGGGGCGTGGCCTCTGATCGATAACAGATACCTGTCCGTGCAGGTGACCAATGTGCCTGTGGTCCTAGGCTCCAGTGCCACAGCAACTAGCAAGGTATGTTTATAGTTTTCTAATCCAACACTATAGAGTTCTCTCATTGGATTTATTTCAGTTCAACATGTTACTGTTTGATCACATGCTGTGTTTTTTGTTGCAGTGATTGGTTATTATTATAGTAATAAAATGTCACACACAATCACTCACTGACCACCTAATTTTGTACATATCTGTCTAAAGCTGGTTCAAGTAGCCCATTCCAGCGACTCCAAGGACTCTGACATTTGAATGTGGTGAGGAGAGCTTGTTTGTTCTAAATGAACATCAGAATGGGGAAGATATTAGAGTTGGTGCTGTTCTAAATATTTTAATATTGCACAAACAACTCCATTAAATGTCTGTGAAATATTTAATTCTGACATAGTATAGAAATGTACTTAAGGCCTTATTCGTGTGAAATACAACATTTTTATCTGCAAAATATTATATTCAGTTCCTCTAGTTTTGCATACCAGATGTTATTGTAGCATGTCTGTCATAACCTGGGCAAAACGTAAAGAAAATTAAATTTCTCTTCTTTAAAGTGATGAGATGCTGAAATGCCTGGGGTTAGAGTTAGGGTGAGCCATGAATAATTGATTAAATGAGAAAATAATTGCTCGGACTTGCCTCTAATGAAAATAATTGTCCTCCTGAGCCCTAAACAAACAGTCCCTAACTCGGTAGCTCCACGGTCTATATGAGTTTGCAAGAGTACCAGTATTGTCGTAGTATTGCCATAAAGTATCAAACATGTGAAGTTAATTGTCATTCCACGGTGCCTCTCCAGCCTCCAGCATTCCTCTTGTCTTGGAGCTCCTTCAGATCTATGAAGGAAAGGAGAAAGAGGAGAGGGGCTCTGCTGGTGTTGAATCGCAGACATGCTTGAGCGCTCTACCTTAACACATGGGTGGTCATATGGAAGTGATTAAAGCTCGCTCCAACATTCTACTCCGCCGCCACGATCAGGAATGTTTTTTCACCCCTCTGGTCAAATAATTAACTGGCCCTTTCTGTGTAAATATGGAATAATGTGGAAAAATAAAGTAATAATTGGATGGCAGTGCGAGGGCCTAATTCTATTAATTGAAGCGACTGGTGTTTGCAGATAAAAAGCTGGAATGCCAGAGGTGGAGTAGGCGCCCTGCATATAAAAACCAGCCTCTTTTATTTGGCAGTTCGTAGTAAAATCTTATCACTTTCGCACACCAATTTTACGTCTCGTCTGTGTGAAAACAAACAGAGCCGGTGGATTTGCATTGAACTAAAGCAAATGTAGCACAGGGAGATGGCGGCGGAGATTTCAACACAACCTTTGAAAAACAGTAACAGTTTGTTCTGGGTGTGCACCTTGAACGTAAACCTGCTGCCTGTGTCATTGCCAGTGCCCGCATGCCCACATCATGCTTTCAGACATGTTTTGAGCTGCCAGACTTGAGACAGGAAATCATCCATCAAGTACAGTATCCCCATAAGTGTAAACTGCACCACAGCCGCTTTGTCAGGACGCTCTGAAGAAACAAGGCTTAGACTTTTTCAAAGCTCACAGCCACGGTGCAAGTCTGAGCAATGTGCATGAGTGAGGTGATGACGCCTGAGGAGCGCAGCGCAATGTGGAGGCAACACGCGCTTTATCTGAGCTCTCTTATCTAAATCTGGTTGTGAACTGTTCAGTTAAACAGTGACAGAAATCCTCTGACTTCAGATCGTTATCAATTAACCAGGATAAGATTACAGTCAGATAAAAGTGTCACTCTAGGAGAGAAGCCAGTGGTCTCAGCACCAATGTCCTGCTGCCACCTGGTGGCAGGCATCAGAACTGCATCTTTTATTCCTTATGTTTTTGTACTGAGCAGTGTGGTCTAATAAAATAACTGAACTATTCACTTTTTTAATGTTGATACTGTGAATATAAGATGTTAAGGTTTTTTTTATTTTTTTTTTTGCTTTCAGATCACAGTGATCTTTAAAGCCTACTTGGGTTGCACAGATCAGAAGGTTTATCAGGCCACCACTGAAGACCTGCCACTAGCCTTCATGGATGGCTCTCGCAGTGGGGGAGAGAGCCTCACCATTGTGGAAAGGGGTGGTTCTGGTGTGGGGCGCCAGGTGAAAATCCAGGCCAGATACATGGGCACTTCCATCATTATCCGACGCGTGGGCAGCTACCTGACCTTCGCCATCCGCATGCCTGAGGACCTTCTGGACTTTTCTGAGGACAACAGCGGGCTGCAGCTGTGCCTGCACGGCTGTCCGCGTAATGAGCTCATCAAAGAGCACATGCTGGGCCGGGGGCGTGTCCCGGGCAGCGCACAGGGCACTAACACAGAGCTGGGCCCTCCGAGGCCCCCCCACCAAGTCTACACTGTGGAGCGTGCCACAGCCAAGTGTAGAGAGACTCTGCAGGTGGAGGATGTCTACTTCCAGTCGTGTGTGTTCGACCTGCTGACCACTGGAGACCCTGAATTCTCCATGGCAGCATTTGGTGCGCTGGAGGACCTAAAGGCACTGCCACCAAGCAAATTAAAGCAGAACTCTCCCAGGACTCCACGTCTATACAGCCACGCTGTGTCCTCACAAACACACAGCCAGGCTCTTCTGCCTTTGCTCCTCCTCATTCTGCTGCTCTTGTAAAAATGTATAAAGAGAAAGGATTTAAACAAAGATGCTTGGAAACACACAACATGGAAGCATTACCAGCTTGAGGAAAGAGTGACTTGAGTGAACAGACTCTTTATAAAGTGTATTCTCCTGGAATCTGTGAATGTATCATTTTCTCCATTTGAAGGATTTCACACTGGTGAGAGTTGTTCTGTGGATTTAAACTTCACTCTCTGGACTGACATAGCAACTATCAGTCCACTATCTTACAGTTAACAGTGGGATTCATACATGTAAATATCAGCCCCAAACTCATCAGTGACTTCTCATTTCTGAATATTATAATTTATGTCTCAGTCAAACATTTCTCAATAGAATTTATCCATGTTCAATGCACAGGATCCAACAACTGTTTGTAAAAACTACCTATTCATAATCTGCCATGAGCCAGAGAGGCACTCAGCATTTCTGTGACACACTCCATCTTCAAGCTGCTTGGCTTCCTGTTCTAAACGTAAACAAACAAACAAATCTTTATATAATAATATATTGAAAGAGTGTATATAAGTGTTTTATATGTGTACATTTGCCTGTGTATAGACTTTTAACTGTAACATGTTTTGTATTTGTTGTGAATCGTAGGTTATTTTGTGTTATCTTAAAGTAAACTAATGTGCTGTGGTGTTTATGTAATTTTCTGTATTAAAATGTTGGACACTCCATAGTTGGGTTCTTTGTATCGTTTCCTTTTCTTGTTGCAGTACCCTCTGAGTCCCAGTGGGGTCCTCAGTCCATAAGGTGAGCTGTCCTGCAGCAGAGGCAGTCCTGACAGGTTCACTGTGCAGTTGTAGAGATCCACAGTGTGCTCTTGGTCCCATGTGTAAGCCTTACCTCTGAGCGCTGAGCTGGCTGCTGCCTCTGCTTCTGTCTGCCAGAACACTGCACGCCTCCAAATGGGATTTAGACTGTGGTTAACACCGGGTCCGAGTCAACAATAGCACTGGGTGCCCATATTTGCATGGCATATGAACAATGACTGGCATCACTGATGTCAGCAGTGTTAACAGTTCTGACAAAATGTGGAGTGGGCAGGAAGTAGCTTTGAATGGTATTTGCAACTTGGCGCATTTAGCGATAACATGAACTTTATATAATGAATTGGTTGTCATAATGTAATGTATTATGACTACATCTGTTTCGTATTTAACGTTAATGTAATTAATGAAAAGGAACCATCATAAACTGAATCCATTTAAGTTATACAAGTGCACCTGTATCAGGCCTCACATCACTCACTACATTCATATATATATTGTCTTTGCTTTACCTATGTTTTTGATACATTTAATGAGTTGCTGCTGTCTATTTGCTCCCAGTTAAACTCACACAGACTGACAGAGAGAACAGAACATTTCTCCTCATAAAACATCAACACTGAGGACAAAATAGTAATTTGCTGCCATCCACTGGTGCCCTGATGAAGAGATTATTTGTCACTCACCTGTCATTGGTCAATATTTTACAGCTATTTACATACTGTAAAAGTGTAACCAGTACTCCAAACCAATCTCTACAATGAGCAGATTACTTTATAGTTGTCTTTGCTCCCAACATTTTAAGTAAACAAATCTCTAGACTTCATCTTGTCATCTTGTCTAGCTACATCCACCTGACAGCTCCATCCTTATGTAACACCCCCAAGTGAGAGCGCACTCAAAATGGGGCAACACTTATGACAACTTTAAAATGGAAAAGTCTGACTTGCGCAGATTAAGATTTGGAAATGTGTCCTGTCAACAGATGGGCTGTCCGGGGAGCGCAGAGGTATATGCTTGTATTTTGAAGTCATCTTGTCTTGACTTTCAGTGGTAAACAAGGACAATTACCAGGCTAATGAGTTGAGGAAAAACTGCGTGAGTGATTGATACTCTCAATGGAGGCATTAATTTGATATTAATAGAGCACTTGGCAAGATAAATAGATAGTGGTGTGTGAGTCCTCTCCTTGATTGATAATGGGGAGATGGATGGGTGTCTTAATGTAACGTGTTCCTCATAGGATTAGACCGAGGTGCTTTTGATAAAATGATTTGCAACGACTTATTATTTATTCAGTGTTCGGAGGCTCGCTGGTAATGGCTGGTAGAGTAATGTCAGATTTCAGAATTCGCACTAAATTTATTGACACTAAATGATGCATGAGATGTTGGATGGGCTGCAGTTGTAAAGCCATTCAGCTGTTCCTCAAAGACTGTGTTTAGCTAGAGCAGCAGTCATTTTCAGTGGTTCTCAAACTGCGGAGTGCGCACAAGTTATATCCTGGATCATCTTTATTACAACAACACTCAGTATAATATAGTTTCTTCTTTCTTTCACATTTCTCAATTCAGACTTGAAACAAAAAAATCCTTTGTCCCTCAGAATGACCATATGATGATCTGAATATCTGATCTTGTAAACCTTGAAAAAAGGTTTAATTTTATTTGTTTACAATATAATTTACACACAGTTTTACTCTTTTCACTCTCAATTCCCAGCAGGTTTTAGTCGTGTGATTATACGTCCTGTTGATGAACCCTGTGTGTATGGAACATAGCCTATACTCTTTTGTGGGCTCTTGCATTTCATGAGCGCTCTCTTTCACACACACACACATACAAACACCTTATTTAATTTGGTTGTTTTTCGCTGATCTTAAAATGAGACAAAAGCAAAGCAGCATCCAAGAACCCCTCTATAGACACTGTCTGGAGCAACTATGCCCATGTAAAGAAGTGCATGTTTAATACTTTTGTCATTTCTAGTTCTGATCAGAGAAATGTCCCAGAATGAAAAACTGTAACATTATGGGTTGTACGGTAGGTCCATGGTAAGTATAGAATATAACGTAATCTGAAACACAGCAAAAGTCCTGATCTAGTTTCATATACAAAATACTTCTATCCACATTTCAGTCACACAACAATGTATAATACTGTGCTTATATTTGTCCAAGCCAAAATGATTTGTTTCAACCCCAGTGTTTTGTAGTTCAGTCATGCAGTCATGTTAAGCCCTTTATCCTCTTGATTTGTATAAAGTCAAAATTATTCAAGACTCTCAATGCAACTTTGGCCCTTAAAGGTGCACTGCTCAACTTTTCTGAAGGAGGGTCCACCATCTACTTGTCTCTATGGAAATGTTATTACTTTGTCTTGAATGTTCCACAGTACCTATCTATCACAAGGGAGAAAAGCAGATTACAGCACTACACTATATTACTATTCAGATCTGTGAAGTCGCTCCTATTCACAGAAGGAATTACTGTATTTGAGCAATAGAAACTAGCCTGATTCATTAGCCGGTTTCACTTTGTAGAAACCATCTGACCTCATTACAATTCTTTCGCTCAATGGTCAGCGGGTACTTTTTTTCATTTAACTAATCACTGCTATTTGGTCTTGATGTATGTAATGCACTGCTAACGGGGCTAACTGGTATACTAAGCTTTTCCCAAATCCCATAGGAAGAAGGGCAATAACGTCTTTCCCCTTGATAAAATTCGCCAGACATTCTCTTTGTTCCGGATTTAAATCCTAGATCTCAGGAATCATTGCCAACACAGAATGTATGGCTCTTCGCTGATTGGCTGGTGCCCGGACTCGCACTTTCAGGGTTTTTGCGAACCATCTAGTGTATTCCAATTCCCGACCGTCGCTGAAGAAAAATGAGCCTGGCTAAATACAAACACCCTTGAAGAATAAATGCTAGACGGAAATGTTTTAAGTCATACCATGGAACATTTCAGGCAAAACAATGACATCTCCATGGGGACAAGTAAGACCAGAAAAGTTGCACAATGCACCTTGAAGAGGGTATCTTGGAAATTCTGTTGACTCAAATCAGTTTGGCTGGGTCCTAGTATTGACTTTCTTTTGAAGAGATGTCCAAGGCTCCATGGGCAGGATTAGTTAAAAGAGTTTTTCTTTATTTTGCCTCAGCTTAGTTCATGTTTAGTTTGGTTATTTTATTATTGATGTGATTTAGTAAAGGTTTAGCAGTTTTAAATGTGTTTTTTCCCACTGTGATTGTGACAAATACATCTTCTTTATCTTTAAGGCAGAAAACGTCACACATCTTCTGACTGTCTTGACGCCCACAGTGTGATGCCCAGTCTGTTGGCTGACTGCTCATGCCACTGCACTCGCCTGTACGGCCTCTGTGACTTGAGACCCTCACCTGCGTTTTGCCTAATGATGCACTTGACTAGAGGACGCACGGCATACCCAGGCATTACACCCTGTTACACGGGTCACTGCCACAGAACAAAGAGGCACAAGTTGCTCATTTCTCACTATGTAGCCTACCTGTGTGAATACAGGTGTGTGTGTGTGTGTGTGTGTGTGTGTGTGTGTGTGTGTGTGTGTGTGTGTGTGTGTGTGTGTGTGTGTGTGTGTGTGTGTGTGTAGGTGTGTGTGCGTGTGCGTGTGCGTGTGTTTTTCCAGACACCAAGCTGCTGCGATTACGGAGCTATCTCGCACTGCAGGCTCTTTCATACCTGACCAACCCAATCTTTCTGCGTCTCCTCAATAATCAGAGTGACAGCAAGCAACTAGACATATCTCACCCAGTGGCTCGCTCCAGAATGGGTATTGACCTACATATCAAATCATACGCTCCTGGCTCGTGTGATAGAGATTGGGGGAAAAAATAACATAGCATGATTGGCAGTCCTACTTTAGCAAACATGTACCCATCCCCCCTGGGTTCCTGGCAACTCAAATGTATTCAGTGGTAAAGGTAGGCAAAAAATTCAGGAAACGCCTCAGTGGGTCTTGGTGGCATTTATGCGGCTTACAGTAACAGTACTAAGGCACAGCTGAGCGCACCTGCTTGTTTCATTGTGTATTTTTATTAACGATATAGTGTCACCAAACTTTTTAACAAATGGCCCCCGGCATCATGACGCCCGAAACACCCGGCTCGGAAATTAAGCATCTGCATCATAAATCTTACAAAGTTACAATAATTTGCAATTCACTCCCTCATCAGAGGCAATATTACCCTAATTTATTATCTCCGCGCACGAGGGGCACGCAAAGGCCGTGGAGATAAGAGTTTATCAGGAGGGGGATTGATTTTCATTAACTGATTGTAATAAAGATGAACTGCCTGCCGCGCACGCTGACCAAGAGCCACACTTTATTGTAATTGGGACGATTTATTTCATGAACCATTGCCTCTACTTTTTGTCCCACCCGTTCTTATTTTATATCTGCTCCTCAAAACTCGGCGTGAATCGCAAGCTTTAGTGAGGGCCAAGTCAAGCGCAGTGACATATTGCATCAGATTTTGGCTCTAAACATCAAAGTGCACCCGACTGCCGCTGCTGCTGCTGGGAAGTTGACTGATAAGGCATTACCTTCCTTATTTCAATTTACAGCGCCGTGCTTGTCAACATGATAATGTTATTTGTTCCCCCGTCTTTCTCCTACCGCCGCTCCATGATTCATGATCGCTCCCAACTGAGAATGAGATGTTCCTGTGCTCCAAATTTGTTTGGTATTCTGTACCATGGCACTGTGCGCTGACACATATTTCAGCAGCAGCGGCTTCGTGGCGCCGCAGGAGCATCACGCCACTTGTACAACTGTGATGGAACTTCGAAATCAGGTTGGAGTTTGCATATACAGCCAATAACAGGCTACAACGGATTCAGTGCAGTGGTCCAGTTTGGAGAAACTAAGACACATTTGTCTATAGTAACTTTACACTGGTAAAGCACAACATTGACCAGAAACAGTTTAAATTTTTATTGTAAAATTGGAAAAAAGGAGAGAAAGAGAGAAAAGCCCCAATAAGCATTTCTTATCAATACATATCTTTATCTTACTATAACCATAAGAGAAACCAAAATAATACATAAGCAAATAAATAAATAAATAAATAACAAATAATTAATTTAAATATCAAATAAATAGTAAACATCAAGTAGAGACTTGATCTGGTAAACAATAGAAACATTTAAATAATGTTGTATAAGCAGCAAGTTTAAGTATTATTTTAATAGGAGAAATAAAGTTTGGTTTCTCAGGCTAAAACAGAACACAAGAATCTCTCAACAATTTCTTTTCTATAAAAAGATACTGCTTCCCTTGTCAGTGAATCCATGCTGTACTGACCCTGCCACATAAGTAGGTGGCGCTCTCTTTTAAAAGTAACTAACCAAGAAAGGAAAACAACTTGTAAACAGCATTTTCTCTTGGGGTTAAAAGATAAAATAGTACTGAGATTTCTCTTGCGCCCTGCACGCCGGGAGCACTCCCAGCGCTTATATGTTTTGTTTGCTTTGTGCTGAGAAACCAGAAAGTTAACATCCTCATATAAAGCAAAGGCCCCCCTCCCACCCCCCAAGTCAAACTCTAACCTATCTGTCCCCAACAAAGCTCCTGTGCTGATTCTCCATAATATACAGATCTCATATTTATAATAAGCTACTATCCTTAGCATTCAAACCATAGTTAAAGAATCATCATTAATAAGAGTAGTACCTTTAACCCTCCTAGCCCCAGTTGAGCATGCTCAGAGATTGAAAAGGGCACCATGGTAAAAGTCGACATTAGTCTAAAAGAAAAAAAATGATGCAAGAGTGGATAAAATGTCAAAAGTTTTAGATTGAGAACATGCAGCTAATGACTAGTATTTACTGCCATTTCCATTTTTAAAACTTCACTCTCATCATATATGTCCATAATTCTGTTTGGGCAGTGAGTATGTACAGTATACAAAGGCCAGTGTACCACCACACCTCACAACTTTATCCAGTATTCACTATTGCATTCAATCAAAGTTCTTTTCTGTGCCGAGTTCCACAAACTCATTAAATTCTAGCCACAGCTGGCGTCTTTAATTTGCATTACCCGAACTGTTGTGAAGGCCACATTTCATTTGAGCTGAATAATTTAGTGGAGTCTCCAGTAGGCGTCCCGTGCGGCAGGTAGTGAGTGGGTTTGAAGGCCCGTATGGCCCCAGGAAAAGAGGCTGTATATCAGGAACGTGAGGGGAGCAGGCTGTCTGCTGGCACTGCACCGGCCCACACTACATCTTATATCTCCAAATATTTTACTATCAGACTAAAGCACAAATATGTCCCAATCAGGAATGTGTCATTCTCTGGAGCTCAAGGAATGTGGCACGCATTTTAAGTCATGTGAACATGCTAATAATTTGGCAATTCATAATCAAATCTGAAGGCAATAGCTCAGCTCAGGCACTGCCTGGAGTGCATCAGGTGAACAGATCAGACTAGTCATGAGACAGTTACTGCAGTAACACTCTGGTGACGTTTTGAGTCTCAGAGCACAGTGCGACGCAGAATGAAGCGCTGATGTGTCTGAAGGGCCACAGTCCTGAGGGGAGCGCCTGCACACAGCTAACAGAGGTATTACATGTATGGAGGAAAGCTCATAGTATATAGATCTATATGGAATGATAAGCGAGAGGTGTGTATGTGTTAGTTAATGAATCCCACCTGATAGGGCCATGTGTGGTGACCACACTGTATAGAGCGGCGTGCTAATGGTGAGGCAGCAGCTGTAGCAGCTCTACTTTAGGCCTGCTGCTGTCTAATTGATGGATCATTTTGCTCTTAATTTGACCTCCTAAGGCTGTTCCTTGCGCTGTACAAGCTCTTACTGTGCTATTATACCCTTTGGAAAAAATACAGCTGCTCTTCACTGAAGAACTCATAATCTAAACTATATACACTTTCTGTCACTGGCGTTTACACTCTTGGTTTTCATGTTAATGAAGTACAGTGAGGAGCCTTGGGGTGGTCAGGCATGTCTGCCCCCAGAGAGGCAGATAGGGAAAGGAAAAGACAGATAACTAAGACTTTTTTCCCCACAGAGAGAAAGATGAACTCTGTCACTCAGTCAATTCATTCAAAATGCCAATGTGTAATTGATTGTGCATCTCTTGCCCCACGGTGCTGTCCCCCATCTGATCAATATCATCATTATCCTAATTATGCAGCGAGTTAGTGCTCAGTCCCCTGTAGATGGTCCCTGTTCCTTCACAGGAGATGCTGGCACTGGGGTGAGGATGGAGCAGGGGAGCAGGGGAGCAGCGGAGGGGGCGACCTGCTGGATCCTACTGTTACACAGCCAAGCCTCCTGTGTCCTTTATTAGCACGCACACATGCTGCTGTGTTTTACTGCGCTGCATCCAGCAAGCCACTTGGCACTTGAAGCACAGTGCTTTATGGTCAGATTATGTGAAAGAGTGAATAGTTAATGACAACATGTGATGAGCCTGCTGCTTTAACTGTAATGTGTTGAGCTGCACAAAGCTGCATACAGTGTGGTCACTCCAGCGGCCTGTTTCTGTGTCACATTTGGCACTATGATTCTGTGGACACAGGAACATGAGATGGAGGTGAGCTGAGAGAACACATCTGAACATGCCCCATACAATGTCTAACCCACATATTCTACGCCACTAAAATAGTATAACTTTATTTTTTTTTTATACATTTTCTGTATGTTTTAATATTCTCAAACCCAGTAGCTATAAATGTCAAAGAAAATCCCTTTCCTCTTTTTATTCAACCTGAAGCTAGTATTTTTCTTAAGTTTAACTTGTAATATTATTAGTAGTAGTTGTAGTATTAGTAGCATTAATACTATATGTTACTGTCAAGAACAATAAAAATGTTTGGTCCTTTGGTCCCTTAGGGGTGAGAGATTTGCAGTCCTACGGTTGCTATTGGAAACCTCGGTGACCTCGGTGACCTGGGCGAGTCGTAGTCCTGCGCTTGCTGAGACAGTGAGAGAGGAGAAGAGAGGGAAAGAAAAGTCTATCAGTGGACGTCATCAACCTCCACTGTTCATCTTGATCTTCAAGTTTGAACCCTCATTTGTCCAGTTCAGAAAAAGCCACAAGCGCCTCTTTCCAATAATATATGTGAATATAATATGTATATAGAAATCTATTTGTTGTTGCTGCTTTTTTGTTTGTTAGTTTGTTGCTTAATTAACAATTCAAGTCTCAACAAGAAAAGTTCTGTTGAATGGTCCTGTCCCAAAGTTCATTTTTTAAAACTTTCTCTTGTCTTTCTTGCACTGTGCCGTCTGTCACTGCTGCGTGAAGTGCATGTCTTCTTGTTCACATCTTCTTTTCTTTGCCAGAACCTATAGCTTCATAGTAAGTAAATGCTGATATGTCTTCAAAAATCCATATGTGTTGATTTTTTATAATGTATTTTGCTTTCAAAGAAAAAAGTTGAACTCCTCTTCGTATCTGCATGTGTCCTCTAAAACCTGAAATAGAGCAGATATATAAAGACAGCCATTATTGATGTCACTGTTCATTGGATGTCATTCAAAAGATCCATTTCTTTAACTGTTATAGTTCAGTATGGCTCTATTATATCCCTCTAATGGTCTGGATAGAGTGAACCCACACTGCTACTACAATCAATCTTTGTCAATCACTGCAGTGACACATCGTCCGGTAATTAAAAGTCCTGCTGTGTGCCACATAAAGCCAGCCCTTATAGTTGGTACAGAGGCTAGCGCTATAGAGGGCTAGAAGGGTTTCTTCTCTTACATTTCATTATTTATTTACCATACAAGAAGAGGCTGTCGGCTAAAAAGAAAGCATGTTGTAAACCTTGACAGGGTGCTCACCTGTGCTGCTGCGGTGAATACAGAAGGTAGGCTGTGTCAGTAAGGGCGGCTGGCATCCTTCGGTCTCTTTAGCTGGACTTTCAATCGCTTCATCCCAATCTGAAAGCCGTTCATGGCTTGAATAGCTGCCTGTGCACTAGCAGGGTTATCGAAGCTCACGAAACCTGCAATCAATGAACATGCTCTATAGTACTTCTGCTTTCCAATTTCAAATAATTGTTGTCTAGTCATTACAATATGTGATTTTACAAAGTAAATTGTGCCCTTAAAGCAACTTGTCCACTGATGCAAGTCAGAGAGATGGCTGGCAAGAGAAATCTCTACTTAAATAGTAGCAGTACTTACTTGGATAGTTGAATAGATATAGAAGTACAAATAGAAATAACACAGTAACACAGTACTGTAGTACAGCAGTAGTTGTCATGGTTATGGCAGCAGCAGGTAAAATAGGTAAAAAGAAAAACTAGAATAACAGAAACCATACCTATACCAATACTAAACAAAACAACATCTATCAGCGTCTTAAGAATATTTGCTGATGTAGTGCATAAATGTAAAAGCTAGAAAACACATCTACAGTGAATACAAGTACCCATGTCAGTCTCAGAACATTTCCCATGATGCTCTCTGCTCAGAAATGCTCTCAAACCTCCTTCTTCTGTCATGTGTAAAAATAAGGGCTGGGCTCAGTGACCAGAAACTGCAGTGGAGTGTGTGTGGACCACACTCCCCGGTGTGTGCTGTCATTAGGAGCAGTCGATGACCCATGAACAGCAGTAGGAGGCGTCTACTGCCACCTGGGACAACAAAGTACAGGGCTCTGCTCTGGTCTCTAGTCTGCTTGCTCTAGTCTGAGCAGGTCTGAAACGGTGCATGTTCTGGTCTGGTCTTTGGTCTGGCCTCTAGTCTGGGCTCAGGTCTGGACTCAGGTCTAGGCTCTGCTCTGAGGATTGGTCTGGGCTCAGGTCTGGGTCTGGTCAAGAGGGAGAAGGAATGTGATCCAATAGCCCAGCAGCCCTCCTGGTGCTGTGGCTGTAGATAAGGAGAGATGTGGGCTTAGGCCTCTAAGCCCCCCTCTCAGTTCTGTCACACATTACAAGTGTGTGTAGTCTCATCCCAGCCGTTTCCCTGTCTTATGCACACCATCAATCTGGCTTTATCCCCTCTTTCTCCTCTCTAGATTAATTACACCAGTGTGCTGCCTCCTTCCAGGCCTAACATTATGTTGTAAATGCATAGTGTATAAGTCAATACTGCAAATAGGTCTTCTTTCATGAATTTATATGTTATTAAGTCCCCCTGGGGAGACACGACTCGTGATCAATTTTGCCCAGGGTTCCACGTTTCCCTCAAGTGAAAACAAACGCTGATCCATAATTGGCCTTTGGCTCCCTCCGCCCCATCAGCGCCTGCCTCCTCAAAGTTTGTATAGGGCCCGGGGCGCTGCAGTGCGTGGGCTGACAGAGCTAAATGGGACAGCGGGATAGGCCTGTGTGAATCAGCCAGGGCAGCCAGCCTATTGACAGATATTGGGGTTACAGAGCGGTGATGCAGCTGCTGAGACAGCACCTCCAGGTTTCCAGGTCACATGGCTGCCAAACACAAACAAGGACATGGACTCTCATCCAATGCATCATGGCTCCATTGGCCACAATGTATTCATAGCATTTTCCCTTTGCGCTCATGCCAAAACACAACAGTCATCAAGATGCAAATTCAGGTCAGTCTGTCAGGATAAGATCATTGGACACAATGTGTGTCTGCGCAGACATCATCACTGCCTCTTGTGTAGCTCTCTCTTTCAAACAAAGGCCCCTTGTTTCATAAGAAGTGTAAAAATAAAAAAAAATAACTTCTATTATTGTGATGCTGAAACTTTGCCGGGAGGCTTCACACCTTTGCTGCAAGTTTTTTCACAACACCCACAAATCTCTGAGTATTTTGGGAAACTTACAAAGAGTGTGGTAAAAAACAAACTAATTTTACAAAGTAACACTTCCAAACTTTTCCTCATTTAAATAAGCTATGATCACAGACCTTATCACTTACTATTATGCAAATCTCTGTGCACTTATATTCAGTTTAACTATGACAACTGAATCTAATGGCTCGTTTTGGGTTGATTTTTATTTTAGCTATGGTTGACTCTACTGTGTGTGACTCACCAAAGCACTTGCTCTGGTTGGTGGCACGGTCCATGAACACCTTGGAGGAGATGACAGTGCCGAAGGGCAGGAACATCTGCATGAGCTCGTTGTCTCCAAACTCCTGCGGCAGGTGGTAGATGAAGAGGTTACAGCCCTCGGGACCTGTGGTGACACAAGAACACACACAAGAACACACACACAGAAATATGTTATTACAAATGTAGACCCAGGCTGCTGCAGTCATGATTTTATCTGCTCACTCTTTCATGTTGACTTAATTAAGAAGACAGAGATTTGCACAGAGTCTGTGACATTATCAGTGTCTTTCATCAGCCCACAAACACAAATCAAATAAAAACTTTTGCCCTGGTTTGCTGATTCTCTTTGCTCTCCGATAATACACTTGGAACTATTATTGAAATTCACAGGGAAAAGATTGAATATGGAAAATGTCACTGGTTAAATTTAACCCATATAGACAGTATGGGACTATAGGAGATTGCTTACATACATTTCTTATACCGCCATGCACAGACCTTACTGTACTTCATATATGGGTCTGGATCAGCAGTATTGCCTTATTCTTGCACTTGTGGATACTTCACTAAACATTATATAAAATGAAAGAGACTAGCATGATTTGGCAGAACTAGACACATCTGATATCATAACAACTGTTTTGACATCTAAAAGGTGCCTATGAGAGTCAAAATCTATTACAACGCAACACCCGATTCACTTTGGATATCTTCAAATAAGCTGCTCCAATCTTCCATCTACGTTTTCATTATTTTTCTATCTGATCTGCACCGCCTGCGATGTCACAGCGTGGATTTGATTATATAACCTAACCACTAACCTTTACATATAAAACAGTGCTGGCCTAGAACTCATGCACTCTACAGTTGTAAAACAGAGCACTCACACTAACACAATTTTATTATGTCTTTTATCAAGCTATATATTTCTAGATGCAACACTATAGACCCTTTTAGTGTTTGTAAACAACTTGGCCCTATTGGAATGAATAGTGCAACAAGATGCAGTTTATAATACATTACTTATTTGGAAATTATCCTCAACTACTGTAGAAATAAATTTAGAGATAGTTTATTTAGAGATAAGATAATAAAGATGGCTTTGGCAATTGACAATTGCTTGGTGATGTGTATAGCTTGATGAGAGGACATGAGCAACGTTTTTTGCAGTTATTTTAATACCATTACGTAGTTAGTCATCTAAGGTGAAGTGACCTCTCACTTCACTTCATAAAGGTCCTCTATTATGCAAAATTGACTCTTGTGAGCTTTATGTCATGTTAGGATGTTGTTACCTCACCAAAAAAACATCTGGAATTGTGTTTTTTTTCATTCATACATGTTTGAGTAAGCCTGCAGTCTGTCTACATCTCCAAAGCTCAAAATGAATTCTGTTCCACCTTGTGATGTCATGTGGTGGTAGTTTTAATTAACAGCTACCTTTTACCTTTAGCTCAGTAGCTCTTGGCAATTCCAGAGCTGAAATTATCCAAATGATTCCAGTGATGGTGTATGTGGAGCATTTCCTGTATTAGCACATGACATCACAATGTAGAACAAAGTTTTCTCTTTGAGAAAAGAACTCAATCAAAATCTGCAGGGTTTGTGTGTTAAACATGCGAGAATGAAACAAAACACAACTCAAAGTATATTTGTGGTGAGGAAACAACATTATAACAGGTCCAAAAATAGCATAATATTGGTCCTGTGTGGCACAAATTTTTTAATTCATAGGGTTTTCACTGTAATACTATGTGTGCTCAAATTATTTCTGTAAAAAATCTGAGCAGCTATAACTGTAGATCCAACTGAGATTAACATTTTAACACAATATTTTACATCTCTAATAATGATTACTTTATTAGAAGCATACCTACAGCTACCACATCCCAGTACTAATCCTAAACATAACCCTATATCAAAGCCCTAACCTTGAACCTACAGCAAGACCCTATCCTCTACTATTGCCCTACCATAAGGCTCGGACCATAACCAAAAATATTACCAACATAGGCTTGTGGGACAATAGGCCAGATGTGTGTGTGTATGAGTGTGTGTGTGTGTGTGTGTTTTTTTTTTTAACCACTATTCTATTTAATTGACCTATTACCTGTTATGATGTGCACAATGAAAAAAAAAAACACATTGTTCTCCCACTATCTTTTATATGTGCATTACCCAGAATGAAATGTGTACTGTGGCAGAGCAATATGTGGCCAGTGCACTCATCTTCTTTATATATACCTATTATGAGCCGATGAGATGTATAGTACAGAGCGTAGAAGTAATAAGGTTGTCTCACCCTCACCTTCTCTCTGCTGCTGCTGTTGGATGACCTGGGGTGGCTGGGGCAGTGTCTGACCAATGGGAGTCAGCGTAGTGGCCGGGTAGATGGCTATGTGTACAGAGGGAGAGGTGAAATGAGTAAAACAGGGGACCCGCACAAAATGGTGTCAAGGATGCTTAAAGTCACAAGCAAAAAACAAAACTGCCATGATACTGTCCTTTGTGGTGTAGTTTGTGAAAAAAATTATATGATGATAAATAAAATGTGATTCCACAGTATGGCTTTAAATTGTTTGTCTATTTTTCTGTCCGCCTGTCCTTCCCTTCGTCCATTTTGAGTATTAAAAACACCCGTGAAATGAAATAAATACCAGGTAGATACTATCTAATGCCATACTGTGGAGCATTCCAATGAAAGCCGTAGCTAGAGCTAAATATAAAATAAATCTGGACAATTTTCTACATTAACATGGATGTTAACGTTTTTTCACATTCCTTCATTAATTCAGTTATCAAATTGTACTCAAATAAAACACATAAGTGCATATGTCCATAAGCTGCTATAAAAATCGCAAAGAGCAATGGTACTTGTTGTTTACTACTGTCCATGACATGATTCCTGTGGGATCAGTGTTTCATAGGTGGCAAGAGAGTGCTTTTCTGTGTTTTTATGACAGTGTGTGTGTCACCATCTGTTGGCTCTGAGAATATGGGTAAGGGTATAGTTTGTGATTTTGTCTGTAAATAATAGACCACGTAACCAGTATTCATTAATTAGAATGAGTTATTTCTATAAAAATGTTTTTGACAACACAGACCTCCTGCCTGGGTGCAGTGGGGATAGATATGCACGATAAAAACAAAAAAACAAAAATGGGAAGAACTTGGCAATATTCATTCAAGTAGGGAATCAGACCCAGGGCACTTCTGGTTTATGCTTGAGGCGTCCAAAATAATGCTTTTTAAAAATACTGTTTGTTTCTTTCCTTGTTTTTTTCCTTGTGAGGAATCTCTCTCCCCAAATCAACAGACTATAAAGTTGTACACTAGTATTTGGCCAGTACAGCAGAACAGAAAGTCTTCTTTTTCCAGAGGCATAGCAACTAAGAACTGACCCGCTCCTTTCCATTCTTGTCGGGGGTGCAATAGTTCCACAGCAGAAGAGTGTGTGTTTACCTGTGTATTGCTGTACACCAGTGAAAGCTTGCTGCAGAGTGTCAGCAGCTGTGGGGCTCTGGGTGGAGTATGGGGGCAGGCCGTTGGTGTAGACCGTCTCCACAGCCGGGTGTCCATTGGGCTGGTGGGGGATCCCCGTGAAGCCGTTGACAATGGGCGTGACTATGCTGGGCACAGCCGAGGTGGTGATGTTGGCGGGTGGAGAACTGAGCCCTGCAGGGAAGAAAATATTAAAATGAACATATTGCGTACAACAACAACAACAACAAAAATAGACAAGCATAAGAGAAACGGAACACACACACTCACATAACAAGAACAAAGCAAAATAAACAGTATTCCCACATGCAACAAAATGCCACAACATTCATAGGTAGGTCATCCAGTGGAGAAGGCCAAACTAATGTGGATATATTGTCTGTGTAATCCCTCAGACAGACACTTAAAAACCTTTGTCTAGTTGACAGAATACAATTTTCTTTTGCATGTAACACTGCAATAACAACTGCAATTTTAGGACCAGCCATTAACATATTCACTTCAGCTAGTGGTGCTGCAGCAGTTCATTTGTTGGATTTTGTTTTACTGAAAATAACATTTTACCTCACACCATCACCAGTTCACTGCAGTTCTTTTTGTAGAACACTAATGATAAATACAGGTTTTTAGCAATGCTGCTGACCTGTCACAACTGGGCAAACTTATTCCATTATTTCACTGGCCATTTCTTCAGTTTTTTCCCACCCATTTCCTAACTTACTGTACAGTTCACTTGCTGCCCAACCTGTCAATGACCACAATGTTTTGCCTTGCTACTATATGATGTCTTTCAATAATGTTGTGGCTTTCATTTACATCACAGCCATTGCAAATGTACCCAATTTTACAAGGTTTTCAACCAAGAGATTTCTTGAATAAGTGGCATTGCATGTGTGAAATGTACCCAAGTAACTCTCCCATATAAGCAGGTGTATGGACTGGCAGGCTTTCTTATTGTGTATACAGAGTAAATAGTGGCACCGCTGCCTGCATAAACAGACCAGAGCACACACACACAGGGAGCCAGTGACCGCGAGCCACACTGCATCTCCTCACTAATGCAAGGACACGGCTGCGACGCCAGTCTGTCACATATCCGCCGTTTGTCGTGACACATCCTGCAGGAGAGCTGGGAAGTCAACGTGTGAAAAATGAGCCTGTCTGTAGTGTTTGTGCGATACCCTGCTGGCTCCAACTGCTCAAGATGATGAAACCGCTATGCAACTTCTGAGGGCAAAAAAGGGGGGAAAAAGAAAAGATGTGGAGTAGATAGAGGGAGATTACAGAGGGAGATGTGCTTGGATGAGCAGGTGGCAAAAACACAAAGATGGCTCTTACTTTTATACATCATTTAAAAAGACAAAATAACTGCTGGCAGCTTGACAAATGGCTGGGTCATAACATATATAGCGCGCATTTGAAAGGCAGCTGTGAGGAGGCTACATGAGTGGCATTGAAATTGGGCGCTCCCTGTCCTCTCTCATTCAATGCATTTTAAAAGGCCCTTCTTTTAGAAAGTGTTTCCAATTATGCCAGCGAACGTCAAAGTGCCCATTCTGAGCCCAGGCCTCGTCGTGTGATGGGCTCTGTAAAAGGGGCTGCTCCGTGGCAAAGCATCCGGAGCCGCTTGAAGTACAGCTCCCCTGAGGACCACCTCTCAATCTGGAAACCCTGTGCTCTGATTGGACGGAAAAAGCAAGGGTTGTCACGGAAACCCTCCGGCGTGCCATATCTCTGCAATCTGGCATCTTAGTGAAGAACCCCCCCTTCCCCCTCTGTGAGACAATTCACATTGGTAAACAGTCACACATAGAGCATATACATAACACATAACGCTTAGGCTTATGCTAATGCCAGTGTAAACATGCTACATGCATCACACGCTCCAAACGCCCACCTCTGAGCAATAACACCTACACATCCATATGGAAAGGCTTTCTTCGATCCCTGTCTCCTACTTCCTACATCCTAGCTCCTGCCTCCTCTGCTTCAGTGTTTAAGTCATGAGTCGACTGACAGTGAAGGCAGTCAAGTGTGGTGACCATGTAGTGAGAGCTGTTGTGTACTAGTATATGTGGATAGATCCCATTCTAATCCATCGAAGAACATAAAACATGAACAACATGATACGCTATTACATCTTCACAACCATAAGATGCACTCACTATCATCGCTCATTCACCGTCCAAAAGGTTACATGCATAGATAGATATGATAATGCAGTTGCACACAATATGTAAATGCTTCCTTTAGCCCATATCAGTTTTGTTCTTCCTGTCTTCTCTGCTTCAGGATGGAAGTCATGTGTTAACCTAAAAAATTAGCTTCAGACTCCACATGAGGAGATACTTCTAGCTATGACTTGGCTAAGATTTATCCTTTATCCAACAATAATAGCAAAAAATATGTCAATATAATTACTACAAATTCTACACCTATTTCTAACGACAATATATGGTCCCCTAGCCATAAAACATATGGCTAACTCCTCCATACTACTATGCAGTTTGTAAAGTATGTGACACAGGGAAATGCTAAATCAGCAAAAAGAGGACAGATCTTTATCAAGGACTATTACTTTCTCTCCCGCCCACGGTCCAAATGCATGTGTGGGTGAACTGGTCGAACTAATAGCACCTACTAATCCATATGGAAATGCTTCTTTTGATCCCTGTCTCCTTCCTCCTTCTTCCTCAGCCTCAGTATTTAAGTCATGAGTAGTCTGACAGTCAAGTGGTGACCAGGGGAATTGGCCAGGTCCGGTGAGAGCTGTTGTGTCTTTTGCACTGATTTCCTTTTTTTTCCTCCTCTCCGAGCCTCCCCACGATTGCTTGTTTCCTATGGAGCGGTGATGAATTAGAGCACAGCTTCAGCCCATTCTCCTACCAGGACCCTGGAGACTTGCCGCTCCCATTCGGAGGGCCAGAGACAGCCAGCCGGGCCGGGCCACACGCACTCCACTGTACCGCCAGATAATGCACCCTCTCCATCATCAAGCAAATTCATTTCCCGGGGTTTTACGGTGGTGGGGGAGCGGTGAGGTGCGCAGCTATATGTGTGCGTAGGGCTGCTATAGTGATAGTGAGAAGAAGGTGCTGCAGAGGAGGAGCTCATACGTGCAATTACATAAGTCCAGGGTCAGCACTCGGAACATGACATGGGCAGTAAAGGCAGGGAGTGAGACCGGGGAGAGGAGCAGATTGGGGCCACCAAGTCCAGACAAGTTGAAGTTATGAGGTAAGAAAGTTTTAGAAAGTAGATAGTAGCTATAAACTATCAAAGAAAAAGTTAGGAGAGGTTGATGTCTACTCTGACATTTGAGAAACATGACACACAAAAAGTACAAGTGCAAGAAGTACAAGAACACATAAATAATATGTGACTAACTGGCTATTCAAAAAGGGGCAGCTAAACCATAAAAGCTGGAGACTGGGTGAACAAGATTAAGTAATAGAGTTTAATTTAGGGAGGAGGGAGAAGGCCAATGATAAACTACTACTTCAGGCACTATCAAACAATGGCTATTATTATTATTGAATAATGTAATGGAAAGTCTGTACAATCAAGACCGCATCAGTGGTTCAGCAATGTTCCCTTCAGTCCTTTTTCTTACAATTACATCTTCTTAAAACAGGTTCACATTCATTAAGTTTTTTTTCTTTTTTTATTGTACAGTGAAACTCAAAGGCTACTATAAATTGTTTTATAAACTTTGACCTATTGCACCTTACCATTGAGATTACCAAGACAAAGAAATTGGTGTGTATGTGCCAGATTTCCGAATTTGGTTCTGCTCGAAAAGCGGAAAACATTGTACTTTTGAGCACTGAATCGTAACAAAACACCCAAAATACAATTGTGGTGTCCTACATTTACCGGGAATCATATTGTATAAAGCAAAGACAATAAGCACCACTATGCTCAATAAAGCAGTGATTACAAGAGCAGGCAATTTCACTGACCATCATCTGTCACAATGGAGCGCTGTGTCCCCGTATCAAACAGAAGCCGAGCATGCAATTGGAGAAACGCTTCCTAGTATATGCTATTCCCAATGACAAGATAACAAGACAATTTCATTTTATACCTTAGTGGACATGCAGCCCAGGCATTGTGCAAAAATGTATTCATAGTGTGTTTGCACTGCAGAGTATATAAGAGGGAGAGAGTCAGAATACATGCAGCTGTCACATATGGCATAGTAATAATGACATGTTGTTCACATTGTCCTGGCTGAATGCTGAGTGCTTGCCAGATTTTTCATTACCTACTGAAGTATTTTGAGGACAATTTCAACACTCAATCTACTTCTGTAGTAAAACCAACATGTTGTTTACAGTGGCTAAGCCACTATTATGATACATAACCGATTTTCTAAATAATAATAATGATACAAAAGCTTTAAAACATGCAGCCTTTTCTTCACAATGGCTACCTTACACATATATCAGTCAAATATAAAAGAATACTTTCAGCTACTTAAGAAACTATTATTTTCAAGTAGCAATATTTGTGATTGGGTCCACTTTTGACAAGACATATGGTTGGTATGAAGTAAAAATTTCATATCCCCTTTTAGCATGCTCTTAGCCACCCATTCGGCTTTCTCATTGGTATAATAAACAAGAATTACCTCTAAACAAGTGTGTATGTATATTTATGTGCAATACGTATTTTATGCTATAGACATTTATATCCCCCACAGCTGCTTTTTAAGAGGGAAACTGTTGATTTGCTCGCTGCCATGATTGCCTAGCGTAAGAAGTCTTCACAAGTATTTATTATGCTAATTATACATTCAAATCAAGCAGAAACACTGTGCCCATAGTGAGGAGTGCAGTCATTACCGGCGCAAGGACCGTCTTCCACTACAGCAAGTAATAAGCACTCCAAACAGATGCTTTCATCGCCTGATGTAAATGTGCTGCATTTAGGCTCAGACAAATGTCACTCCCAGCCTTAAAGGGAATAGTCAATGGAGATGTGGGAGATGGACAGCTCATAAAAGTACAAATATTTCAAAATGTCTCAGTCACTTCACATCTGGTCCCATGATGCTGAATTTATTAAACATGACAGGCTAAACCACAGTAAAAATGTGTTTAAAAGACTGTGTTTTAAAAATGTACTGAGCAGAATTCTAAACAAAATGGCTTCACATATACAA